ATCTTATACTGAAATCATACGAATCTTTAAAAAAAAAAAAAACACTTAAAGCACACAGGACATTTTTAAAAATTTTAAATGACAAAAAATGAAACCAAAAATATTGGAAAAAACTGCAATATCTTTTGTCTGGGCTCCATCTTCGAAAAATTATCAGCTGGTTAATTTTAACACTTATCTGCATAACTGCAGCTTAAGTCGACCTAGCCTAAAATGGGTACCAGGTAATGTCCCGGGAAGTAAAGGCTGCCAGAATGATGTTAAACACATACTTCGAATGTCTGTTGGTCTATCAAATTCTGAGTCTGGCAAAATCTGTTTGATGGTCAACTAGCATGGACAAGGTCCTTTAATTTAAAGTTTTGGTACATCAGTAGCACGATGAGGTGGAGTCTCGCAAAGAATGAAAACAGAAAGACATTTCAAATTTCAGTAAAAAAACGCGAGAGACGTTGTGGTCCATCATACGAGCGGCTTCTTCATCTTCATGCAGGTCCCTTCATTAGCATCATTATTATCATCATCATCCTCAGCATCACCATCACATGCCCTGCCTACTGCCACTGTTGCAGTCCATCCGTCATCACCATTTTTTTTGTCTTTTGCCCCCTCTTCTACTACTGATCTTTACAGTGGTCACAAAATTCTCCATAACCTCCCCACTCATCAGAAGACCAAAGAACAGTGCTTGTCTTTTCCTTATAACTGTATATTTTGACCAGCTTTCATTAGCTTCCTTTAAGCAATCCTCATTAGTTATTCTGGCAGTCTAAGGGATTCTTAGCATTCTTTTTGAGAAACCACATCTCCATCGCCTCCGAGTTCTTTCTAATTTGTGCATTCACATCCCACAATCGACTACCATACATTAATATAGGTTCTTCATAACAGTACTGGTCGGGCAGAAATCTGAGAGAGTGTACAACCAGGGCAACAGACAGAACGAGTTGGGGATCCATTGCAAACAACCTTCGCTGTGGAGATGGTACCTGATCGATTGTTTGATTGATCTGCCCACATCAGAACTACACAATCTACAATCTTGGGTCATGTGATGAGGGGGAGAAATCTAGAGTACATCGAGATATTAGGAAAGTTGGAGAGGAGGGAGAAGGACTGAGAGAACAGCTGCTGGACATTTTGACATCACGTCACGAAAGATCAGCTGTTTCAGAGTTGATTGAAAGTACACGAGACAGAAGTCTGTGGATAGACATGACAACCAACGCCCACAGCATGGACTTTAAGAAGAAGATTAACTACTTATCTCTTTTTATTTTCCATCAATTTAAACAGTATGAATTTCTTTGCTGTTCCTTACTTTCCCTTATTTGCTGTTTGCACATAAAACTCAACAAAGATAACACAGAAAAGAGTAAGAACTAAACTGTACCGTCTGGTGCGACCCAAATGTTCTGTCTACACTGCCCGAGACAAATATCACACACAATTGATTTATCAGGCATTTTACGCCTTCGGGCTTTGTGGGCATATATGACTAGACCTATATTTTATAGACCAATTGGATGGATGATGTGTTCTACATCACACCGGTCGCCTTTACTTCCGAGAACGGTGCCTGGTGCATACTTAAAGCAAGGTCCACCAGGGAGCTAAGATTATTTAAAAACAAAAAAAAAAAAAGAACGGTGTTGCTGACTTCGTCAGGAACTGACAACCTACGTCATCATTATTTGTGATTGATTTACACCAATAAATCAGTCTGGATGAGATCTTTCCTTCTCTAAACAATTCCCTGTATATGTTTACATTAGGCCAACATGCCGCGGAGAAGGTCAAAATTAAACAATTAAAAAAAAAAGGAAAAAAATTGACAAAGGGATACTTGATTAAAAGCAAAACTCTAAGATAAAATATAAAGTAATATATATATATATATATATATATATATATATATATATATATATATATATATATATATATTATAATTATATATTATACATAATGTCAGAAAATGAGTATTTACAATTCTTTCTCCGGTGCTTCGTTGAACTCTCTGACTGTCGGTCCCGGAGTCACAATTAGCTAGTGGAAAAACAAAAAAGCAGGGGTGACTTATTACCATTCAATGGTTAACATAATTTTTTTTTTAATTACATGAATTCATGATTGTTTGGTTCATTATTCGGCGTCTGTTGCTTAGGCGTTGTGAACGCGCTTCGTAATGCCGGGGTGCCGGGTACGATCTGACAGTGGTATCGAGAAGCTAACTGTCCAGAAAGCAATGGCAAACTACTGGCCTAAAAAAACCACAACAGTAAAAAAAAAACATTCTGGGGTTGGTTCCACAATGACCTGTAAAGGATACACAAAAAACAACTTGGTTCCTTGGATATCGTGTTAGCGAGGTTTTCATCTATATCAGATATACTGTTATATTTATGAGCCCACAACAATATTAGTAATAAAAACCGTTGCTACTATTATTGTGCACTTAAACAAGAATTGTGCTGCTTTAAATGTGGCAAGTTGGCCACGTCCCTATTCCCCCCTCTCCCCGAGAATTCTTAGCATCGGCGCCCCTGCTTAAAAACATCATAGTATAGCGAATGGCAGTGTTATCATCCGATAAATTTGTCTAGATAGAACCCCAGTTCGTCTGGATGTTGTAGTCCAGTATTTTATGTGATATTATGTTATGCAATGCCACGTTATATTTTCTGTTAAATGAGACGAGACAGAGAATTCTCAAGTCACAGAAATCCTATTCTAATATACCGAAGTGAATCATGGACAGTTAGTGGACCAGTGAACAATTTTTTGGCGGGAATCTGCGATGATGGGGTTTTATAGATGACTAATGAGAATATCCTGGACGACAAGAAGAGTAATGAAGATGCGTTGGAAGAAAAGGATTTACGAAGAGAATTGATTCCCCACATCAGAAAGAGACAATCTACTGGGAACGTCCTACGTAACATTCCAATGACCCAAGTGAGTGCAATGCAGATTCCTTCACTTATGGAGACGACACAACATTTATTTATTTATATCTATATTTTGTTTTGTTTCTGGCTTAGCTATTAATCTGTCTTCGAAATTCTTTTTCAGATTAACTTTATCGACCGATGTTACCCCAAAAAAAATGTTGAAAATCACTGACGCAAGCGGTATCATATCAACTTATCTACTTCCTCTACTTTCTGCGACACAGCCTAGCGCCCATCAAAGGCTAGTTCGATCAGCGGGAAGCCACCCACACCCGGGTAGTTCATTGGCTCGCCGGTAGATGACTTCGTTGCTGGTCGGGACAGTAGTTGGGTCTCTGTCACTTTTGATGTTTTCTGAAGGCGTCATTTTCTGGGCTTATGGTGGCGTGCAATACTAAGCCATCTTAAATAGCGCACCTAACCTAGTCACAATTATAACCTAAAGCTCCACCTGGGGGTGCTTGTTGAACCTTTTTTGTTTTAAATTTTTTTTATAAGCACCTACCTGTCCTGGGTTTGCCGACGATGACTAGCAGATACAAAGTGACACAAGTCAGGGCGTACATGAGGGTATCGGCGGACGTTAACCACTCACTGCACAAATCTATACACGACACAAAAGGAACGCGTCTCAAAAGAGGACGCTCTTAGATGGCAAAGGCTAAGGATTTAATCCAGCAGGTATGTGACCTAGACGTGATCAGTCAGGGAAAAGAATGGACGAATACACCAGTAGACATGCATGGCATCTGTAAGGTTGTCATCACACTTGGAAGGTACTGCTGTGATCAAATTCCACGACCGTAAACAAAGAAGTAAGGGAACTGATAGATCAACATTCAGACCCAGAAGATATCATCATCTACACAGATGGATCCGTGAAGCGCGGATCAAGGTCAGCATATGCAAACAGCGCAAAGAAGGGGGAAACAATAGAGGAGGACAGCGGCGATTACCAGTCAACCACGTCAAGCAAGACCATGGAAATAGCCGCTGCTTCTAGAGCTTTGGTGGGTATCCGAGCAAACCGCCACACAGGCAGCTATTGTATCAGACTCCATGAATATGCTTCAGAAGATAGCAACAAGCGGTATGCGCTCTGAATGGGTAGAAAGCATTCGAAAATCGCACATAACCTCTGTAACCTGGATCTACACACTGGGTTATGCGGGCGTAAAGGGAAATGAGCGAGCGGACCAACTGGCAAGCAGTGCACTAAGGATTGCGGGAAAAAAAACATAGACAGAGCAGATATCGTCAACGCTGTACTGACTTGGCTAGTGGATAATGAGTAATCCCTGACACTAGCACGACTGCGTGACATGGTAGTAAAGCATGATAAAGCACGTCTTTGCCGTCTTCGAAGCTGAGATAGGAGACAACATAACAAGCTTCTTATGGGAACAATTAATAGAAGTACTTTGGAGTGGTTGCTGCATCGGCGGACTGAGCACGCATGGAAATGCCCAATGTGCAGTGACGTCGATAGTGATAACATAACATAACATCTTGTATTGAGTCGGTAGTCAGAAATCAAATTTCAAGGTGTCTCCTTTGTGCCAAAAAACTGCATGGCTGATGGGTGATCAGTCGTTAACGAAGACAGTCAGGTCGTTGTTGGGGCGACGCTTCCTGGTGGATGTAATGTCCTAAGTCCCTTTCCCAATTAATAGTGAGGGTACTGCTGGAGTGACCATTTATTAACCCTCTCATAATGCTGCAGGTCAAAATAGACGCTAGGCACGGCAACTTTTTTTGGGTGGTAGCCGTAGCAATTTTTGTTGTTGTTGCTTTTGCCAGACTGTGACCGTTGCATTTTTCCTCCCTTTTTAGACTGGAAGAATCTAGCTTCGTTGCCCAGCTTCTGTGTTGAGTGCATGGCGTGACACTGTGAGCTGCAGATTTCATTTGAACTGTGATAAATAGTTTGTGTATTTTTCATTGGCACAGGAGGGGAGCAGCTTTAGGGTGACCCGTTTGCTATGAAGCTGAAACTAAGATTACCAGATTACTTACATTTTTTGTTGTTTTATATATTAAAATACTTACCTCAAAACCAGATCTGGTAACAGAGTGATCTGTCTTGAAAGTCACGACGAAAGAGCTAAATTCGGGAAGATAGAACGGAATACTACGTCCGGTCTCCCAGGTACCACAATATTTTATTCCTTGCAGACTGAGGTCATCAAAGGCACAGACACGTTGATATTCCAAATCGAAATGCCTGCAATAAATAAATAAAAAAGGTGGGGGGGGGGGGGATAACTTTTTCTTGCACTGCTTATCCTATGGCGTTGGTAAATATGTAATCTGAAAACATGTATGTTGGAATATAGTGACAACATTTGAAAAAGGTGGAGACAGGTATGATCCGTGCAGAGTGGCAAGCATCGCTTAAGAGGTCTCGGGTAGTTAGCGTCCTTTGGATATTTTCTCAAGGTCTTACCGGTGTTCTGGGAAACGAACAGGCAGATATCCTAGCTAGTTCTACACCATTTTGTGGGGGAACAGATACACGACTAGTTAGATATTGTAAGGGTTCTTAAGGAGCGAGTGAACAGTGTGGAGGCCCAAATAGATCATTACGGTATAAGGAAAATGCCGCTGTGAGGCAGACCAAAGCATCTGGCCAACGATCAACACTTAAGAGAAAGTCGAGACGGATATACAGTCAGGCTGTTACTGATGCCATGGGAATTGTAATTCTTCGCTTGATGCTGAAGATGGGGACGGAGCGCTTATATTTCGATTGCTGTACTGTCGATTCTTATTTCAACATTTAACATACACTGGCAGATCTGTAGTTAGTGTTATGTAGTATCCCAATGTGTAATTTGCATGTGTTATATGTGTTAGTATGTATGTTGCATGGATATACGTGTTTTGTGTATTAACGTAGTGTGTATTCGTGTGTGTGTATATGTATGTATATATATATATATGTATATATATATATATATTTAGCACGTATATGTGTAGCTTCGAATAGCCTGTTTCCACAGTCAACGAAAAAAAGAAGGCTGTTTCATAAGATCTAAAGCAGTGCTGCTGACGTTACCGGATCGGGCTAACAATGCGTTAACGAAGCGGTTCTTAAACTGTGTGCCGATACACCCCAGGGTGCCGTGAGCATGTGTCGCGGCAATAATCAAGAAGAGTCGGCTAAAAATTGGAAAATTATGAAAGAACGCATGTAGATATTTAAAAGTTAAATTGTAATTTGTCTTATTGTAAGCCCGACCCGGTGACGTCAGCAGCATGTCCTGTCAGCTGGAGCTGGTCGTGGCCAGGCAGTGTCAGTACGTCAACGGGTGATTTCCCTTCAAGACATAAACTGCGGAGAGGAATGGATACCCCTACCTAATGAATACAAGCTGTACCATTGCGATGGTTATCATCCCGTCAAGACAGTGTCGTGATTTGTCGCCACAACTTGTTGATGCAAAAGTGAAAGCATTTTGGAGAAAAACCGGAAGATGCTGTTATGTATACAGATGGTTCTGTGCTTCGTCAGAAGTGAAGTACCTGCGCTTTCACGTAAAGAACCAAACTGAAAGTCATTAAAGAAGAAATTTCAGGTGCTCACTAATGCATGTTTGCTCAGCGACTCAATGAGCATAGTAGAAAAGATGAGGCGGGGTTCGTACAGAAACAGTAGCTCCATCTGACACAGCGCGCAGCGCTCAACAAAATCACTTTTTTTTTGGTTGCTTCAGGTATGCCAGTGTGAAAGGCAGTGAGAGAGCAGACGATCTGACTGCGAGTGCGACTATCAGGAATGGGTCTTTTACCGAAGAAAAGACATCATCAATGCAATACCAGAGACTAAACGCTGTGAGGCTTCAAGTTTCATGGAAAATGATTTTTCACAGAATAGACTGCAAACTCTGGGTTTACCAGCTAGAGCTGCAACAAATGAAAACAACATTTGAGCCACCGTTATTTACATCAAACAAAACAGAATTGAAGTTGTTAGCCTAAAAAACACACTTGGAGACATACTCAGGAGGAGATCGGAGCACTTATGGTCATGTCCGATGTGTCATAAAGATGATCTTGAAGAATAAACATGTATGCGTGTATTCGTGTGTGTGTGTGTGTGTGTGTGTGTGTGTGTGTGTGTGTGTGTGTGTGTGTGTGTGTGTGTGTTTTGGCTTTTTGGGCAAAAACATATGTGAGCATTCGTATCCAAATATTGGAGCGATGCAGAAACCTAAGTATAAAAAGTGACAAAGCTTTTTGCTCTGACTCAGTTTGTTCTTGTTTTAGATTATTCTTGGGACTTCCAGAGATACACTAGATAAGTATGGACAGCTAATCCACAGTTTAGCGGTACCGCCCCCTGGGCCATCCCAGCTCCTCTCCTACATTTGATAAAAGCAGCTACCGCCCCTAGGACCTTCCCATCGGAGTCGGGAGGCGGGGGGATCACTTTGGGGAAAAAACTGGTCCAAAGGAAGACATGTAGAGATGAACTTTGCTCACATGTAATTAACTTTTTTTTTTTTAAATTAAAAAAAAAAAAAAAAACTAAAAAAAAAAAAAAAAAAAAGATTTTACCTGAAATGAAATATTTTACCTAAGTTGAAATTTACTTTTAGTGCGCTAAAATTACCTTTTCTCTGAAAAAAATTTGATCTTTTAAAGATTTTAGTACTAATGAAATGAACTTCTTCATGCAATAAAATACTCTTTTTTTCCCCCCTGAAATAACATGAATTTCTACCCAAATATATAAAACTGTATCTGAAATATGATTAACTTTTACTTGAGATAAAAGTGAGTTTTACCTGAAATAGAAGACCAAGACCAATGGCTCGCTGTTAGAGCGAATAGTCAGCGTAAAGTTGTTGACATCGTTGGGGTAGTTCCCTCTTCCATAGTTAGGGCTCAATATGACGATGGGAGGGCTTGTAGATTCGAAGTTCACGTTGAAAGGTGTGGGGTTCAGTTCGTAGAATGTGACTACATGCTACGAAGAAAAATATTTGAATATCTTTGTATTGTGTGGGTGTAGCTTGAGATTAGTGGATGCATTTCATAATCCTTCACGAGTCAGGATCTGAATATCGAAAGTCAGTCAGTTAGTAGCATGTCCTTTGCAGAACCTTGCTCCCACAACAAGTTCCCGGAAAACGTCTCGATCAAAAGCAAGATGTTTCGAGTGCGATACATCCATCTGGAGATCATCCGTCAGATTCTGCGCCTATCTTCCCTTTGGTCTTTCTCTTCCTCTCTTCCCAGGCATGTCTGACTATATCTATATCCCCTTCATGTCGCTCTTGGCACATAAGGCATTCACAAGTGATCTCCATTGCTGCCGGTCTGCTTGTTTTTCTGCCCATGGTATCCCATGTCAGTTTACATTCCTTCATTTTACCATTCCATTGTCCTTTTCCAGGTTTCCTTCGGTCGTCCACGTCTCCTTTCCCCATCTGCTGTCCACCGGAGAGCTGTTTTTTCCCCCAGGCACACACCCCTCCATTATTGTTCTCTCCAAACTTTTGTGACGTTTCAAGTAACCAAAATATTTCAATTTTCTGTGTTTTATCGTCTTTAAAAGCCAATCTTCTACAATATTCAGTTCTTGAAGTATGGATGCATTAGCTCTTTTCATTGTCCATGATATTGTTGTTTTTGTTGCTTCACATGTTATTGAATATCGAAAGGGTTTTTTAAAAATGTATGTCCTCATTTATTTCGTATATTGATGAAAAAGTAACACCGTGAAATACATTAGACCATCAACCATGTACTATACTGGGAGAGGGTGGAAAGGGGGAGGGGGGTGGTCTCCGTTGCAAAATAGTCAAGCCGTTAGCCTTAAGCTCTAAGAATCGTAGGTTCAGTTCACGAGTGCTATTTTTACGGAGATCCCTGGGGATCATAGCCGGAGCTATGTAGGTCGTGCTCTGTGCCACGCTGTCCGCAGGCAGCTAGCTATTCTGTGGAGTAGGCTTAGCCATATGTGATAAACTCAGTGCAGTGAAGTTGAGCATCTCTACTTTACCTTTGCCTTCAGGTAATACTTCCACAGACAACAGTGGATTCCCTATATCGCCAAAGACAATCCGCATCATAGAGACAATATACATTTTGTTTCATGTTCTAAAAGCCACTTTTGACTAATTCTTCTTCTTCTTCCTCGTTTGCCCTTAAAATGATGGTTAGCCAGGTTGTGTTGTGGTTTACAGCTTGGCTCTGATATGTGGGCACTTCTGCCCACATACACGATTTCAGAAAATCTTTAACTGGTCACATCTCATGACACGCACCAGAAAGGCAGTGGGTCTGTTGATCTTGGGTTTGATTATGCACAACCTGAAAAAAAATATGTCCTTATCTTTCAGGTCCAACCGGTTTGAAATGGGTACCAGGTGCCGCTATGGGAAGTAAAGGAGGCAGGCGTGATGTTTGACACCGAGGGATGACTTGTCTATGTAAATATGAGAATAGTATTACGTGCCTAATTTACATAACATTGTCCCAAAGCGACAAGAGGCATATGCTTTACTTTGCTCATTCTTTACTTTATGAAACTTTATTCATCTTTGCTCTTTTGTTGTTGTTGTTGTCGTCGTTGCTGCAAATTACTGGTAGGAAGAAAGATAGTGAAATACTCGCAACAAAAAACTAGACAGAGAAAGATTTAACTTAAAAACAATACGAACCTGAGCAGTCACAGAGCTAAGCATCAGTGCCAGCAACAAGGAAGCGAAATGATGTCCGCTGATCGCCATCGAGTCAA